TCGCATCTGGGGCAGTTTTTCTTTTACCATTAAAATAACTGTAACAACAACAAAAAGGTACCTATAAAAATAATTTTCAAATTGCTATAGACTGGAAGCCTAACATTCCTGGTGTAACTGATACCTGTTAAATTCTCCACAGAGAAATTTCTGATTAAACCTAAAATTATCTTCAGTGTGTCCAGTGGTATTGTCTCACATCTCATTATTCAGGAATTGCAGGTGATGCACAAATGTTTTCATTTTCATGCTTAGGCATTTCTTCCTAAGCAGTGCTCCCCTTCAGGTCCTTGATCATGAAGGCCACTTAAAATCATCTTATGGTTTATAATAAATGCAAATTAGAAAACTCCATCAGTTGTTCAATATCAACAGACTTACTCTCCAGGAAGTATACAGTAAAACACCCTGAAGTGCATGCTGTCTGCAGGTCACTATGTCCTATTCCCCTCACTCCTGCAGGTCCAATTCCTCCTCCTTTGCTCTATTTTTAAAATAAAAAATCATTTGGCTGCACAGAGCTGCCTTGTGGCATTCTCTGCCGGCCTCATCCCTGTTTTTCTCTTTCCCTGTATAATGGCCTAGCTTTGGTGAGGATAGCAGTTATCCCAAGTGTGATCCTTTACTAAAACAGGAACTGAAAGAAGGTGGAGCACAAACAACCTAGATGCAAAGGAAAACCAGACATCTGAGAAGGACCCAGAGAGGAGCGAATAATGAACAGAGTGGTTACGGTGAATTGCTGTGGAGGGGATTCTTGGTTTTCAAGCACACACACACACACACATACATGTACGCAAGCACACACACAGGAGTACACACACACACACACACACACACACACACAATGACACCAAGGCAAACCTAGATGAAGAGTCCCAGACAGAAGCTGGTCAAGGCAGAGGGCTGAGGCCAGTGGTTCCCCAGATATAACCAGAAACAACTATATTTTATGCCTAAGAGTTAAGCATTCAACTGCACCATTTTGGAACACAAGGTACTTGGAGGAGTTGACATCTCTTCATAATTCATGTTCATTGTTCCTCTAAGTAAAATATGCATCTCCCTTTAGGTGCTCTGCAAGGAATTATACTTTACAGGCAAAGGGACATTTTTGATAATGCACATCTTAAGACTTTTCATTAAAGTACCAAATTTAAATTCTACCTTTTTGTGCACTCTGACATTTTTGTCTGGCATTTTCATTAATTTTGCGACATACATAAATGTAGCTGAAATGTTAACTGATCAATACTTTGTCTCTCGCATGTAGCACTAGCGCTCTGTTCCCCAAGGACCACACAGCAGAACAGAAATTAAATGTGTAAAATATCAAATGTTAATGTTAAACACAGCGGCACTTACTGTATAACGACAGAAAAGGCTAAAACAATTCCAAATGGACAGATGGTACCACAAATTATCTACAATCACATTTAAAGATTAAAGTTTGTCCTGTAAAATAATTCTTTTGACGCACACTGAAGTGTGTCCTTTTACTGCTAGCTCAGTTGTCCAATTATTTTTGTGCTCATTACAGTGAGAAATGACAGTACCGAAAAGAAGGAGAATGTGTACTCTTTTTCTTTTCTAGTTTTTTTTTCCTCCTGCTTTGCACCTACTGACATCTACAGGAACACACATGTCTGGTCAAGAGCCTGATGAAAATTAGGCCCTATTTCCCAGACATTCCCACATCTACAAGAGATGATTTGCAAAGACGAGCAGAGCCTTCTGCAGCACACATGTCTGCATTCACTCCTAGACAGACAATATTCATAGCAACACTTAAAAAACCTAATTCGTGCCACTGAGCAACAGGCCATCCCCAGAAATGTGAGCACTTATCTCTTACAGTCCCCTTCCAGACTAATGTCAGCTGTGCTGTCACAGCTGGCTTTGGATCCTCCCATGGTGCACAGGTAGAGCCGTGCAGGCAGCCACTGCCTGTTACCCTTTCTCCTGCTTTCCAAGTTCATTGACACTGGGACCCAAAAATGCTTGTTTTGCCATTTGGATTTCATTATTCTACACTTATTTTTGGAGTGTGAATGAGAACAGGAAAAGAAAATGGAAGAATAAAAAAGAGATACTTAAACATTATAAAGATGACAAATCTGGGCCTAATACCAAGCCGGGTAATGGTACAAATGTGTGTGCTCCACGAGGCAGCTGCTTTTATGAAAAATGGGCCAAGTGGAACCAATATTATAATAATAGGCCCACAATCTATCACCAGGGCATGACGGGAACAATATGCTCCTAACAATGAGTGCTGCTCACACTCTCCTCCTGAGGGAAAGCAGTGCTTCTTCCTACGCTGGCCCGAAAGGGCTCCAGTCATGCAATGGGAATCATGGACATTTTTCCATTTTGAGAACCTTCTTTAATGTCTATGAGATGAATACAAATCCTAGTACACTTGTTTTTCTGAATTGTTAAAATATTAAAATTACAAGGTATGTAGTCTAAAAGACTCGTTTAGGAAAGAAATGCTATCCATGGTATGGTACTGGACAAACTGCTTAATTGTGCCACAATTCCATTTCTTCCTCTGTATACTGGGAAAAGTGAGTATCTACTGCACAGGGTGCTGGGAAGATTAAACTCATTAATGCATGAAAGCATTTTCCATGCATTCATAGGTGAAAAACAGTTCCTTGGCAAATAGTAAGAGCTTATAGATATTAGTTCTTATTATACAAGGACTTTTCATATCAATTTAATCTGAGGTTAAACAGATTCATAAAGGATTATGGAATAGTTCAGAATTCAAAATTGTTACATAAATATTAAGCTATATACATCAGAGTTTAATAATGAGCTTTAGTAGAGAAAATATTTATTAGACATGATTGAAGAATAAATTTCTCCGTATCAGAAAAGTTTTCAGATTAATTGACTGATCATTGATCAGCCGGTTGACTTAACAGCCATTTATAATGGGAACATATTGCTGGCTCTGCTACAAAAATGCTAGAGTACCAGGATGGAAAAGGCAGGATCTCTATTGTCATGAAACTTCCACTTCATGCCTAAGTAAGTACTTCGGTTTTGTTTCAGGCCCGTTCAGTAGAATGTCATCTACTGAAAGAGACGTAGTCCCATCTCTTTTGCCCTTGAAACAGTTAATATTATTGTTTCTTCTTCAAGTAATCCTAATGGGAGTTCCCACTGTCCTTGATGGCTTCTTGGTCCTCTCTCCCTGTCTGCAGGCCCTTTCTGTATCTTGACTGTCACTCTCCTCTTTGTGTAAGCCTCTTGTGTTCAGCTTGCGTACGGTAGGCCTAAATTTGTTACACACCGACCGCCACATGAGAGAGATGTTAGACATTTCTTTCTCAGTAAAGTCTGTCCCTCTTCCCATGAACTCACTCAAATCGTATCAGGTACATGTACATAAGGTTCTCAGAATTCTAGTACCTGTAATTTTTTTTATTCTTTTATTTTTTACAAACAAGGAAATTGTGAAAAGGGGCTGCCATCTTGAATTTATTTTACACAAGTCTCTTCCTATAAACTTAGAAGCCAGAAGAGATTTCTGAACACTTACAGAGTGCAGTGCCAAAGAATTCAAAATGAATGTTCCTAAATAAACAACATCATTTCCTATAAGTCTCTGTTTTCAAATTTCATAAACATCGGAGGGGAATAACTTTGGAAGGAGTGACTCAAAAATGACCATATATGACCATTTCAGTAGAAATCAGTTGCTATTAAAAGGCCTCACAAAATCTGGAAGTAATGATATAAAATATATAGAGAAGCTAAGTATCATTTTATCTCATTAACAACCTAGTGCCTCTGTGGTGGTGAGAAAAATCAGAATGTAGTTTGTTCAACAGTGCCCTAATATATTTACTATATAAGAGAACAACTAAAAGAGTATTGGGGAAAGAAGATTTCTTTTTCTATAACTCAAAAATGATGACAGCCACTCTCTTTAAGGAGACAACAACAGGTCTATGGGAAGCAAGCTGCCTAACTTCCTGGTAACTTACAGCACAAAAGGACATACACACTCTTTGTTCGCGTGCTCAGACATTAATGAAAGTCCCTTACGAGGTCTGAGAGGACAGAGCTCAGAGTACTAAACAGATGTGCATACATTCATTTGAATGGTAACACTAAAATATTGATTTGTTATCATAATTAGGACTCCTCTTGAAGGCCCCCATAATAAAGTCATACTTTGCAAAACTAGTAACTGTAAGGACGCAGAAGTTATCTCTGTTCACACAAACAGTAAAACAAAGATTTTTCAAAGCACCATGTAAACTTCAAACTAAAATCTTGAATAAGCAAAAATAGTGCGACAGCAGAAAATCCCAGCTAATACACAGAGAGCAGAAGCTCCTGGATTTTCTGATTTTTACCAGTTGCTCTCCTCAGCACTGTTTTAAACAGTCAAAGAGAAAGGCTCCAGGATGAACCTTGTTAGAGGACTATCTGGATCGATCAAATTCTCAAGGCTTTTTAAAAACTGGAAGTCTCAGAAATAATAAAATATGTCTTAAACAGGTCACATCCACTTCCAATTGATTCACCTATTAAAGTATTACCAACTGGCACTCCTCTGCCTAGGATGTTCATATTTTGAATAAAAAAGTCCAAAACTATAGAATGAATAAAATCAAGTTGAGCACGGTCAAGACCATTACTATTATTATTTTTCACACTGAGGTTTCTTTCTTGGCTCTCCTATTGGCCGTTAGAATTATGCAATATGCCCAATTTTACTTTTTAACTGTCACAGAGAAAATTATACATTGGCTGAGATGTCTCTCATTCCGGAAATCTGAGGCGGGGAATGTATTCTTGGACTCAGACCTTGAACAATCCATCAGGTCCCTGCCCACGGCAAATCTGTCCAGTCGAGTCTTAAAATAGGAGTTTTAAAATGGCCACATCAACATAACTGTTACTATAGCCACAGAAACATGCAGCTATGATTACTGAATTTAATGACTAACAATGTAAGTAATACAGTATGATCATACCACAAAAGCAGCGAGACTTCTTGGGGGTGAATCCCAATCAAAGCAACTATTAACGTAGTATGCAGCATTTACAAGCACCATGACACAACGTTTCATTCTGATAAAATTTCTTAGTAGCAGCTGGAAGAAAAATGAGAATATTATTAGAATTTGCATTGCTAAAGATGATCAACTATATTGCAAAATTTTCAACCTTACTATGATTTAAAATGGATTCAGAAAGTTAATAAAGCTATAAGAGCATATTAAACAATTCAACTTACAAGTCACAGAAAAAGAAGTATTTCCAGAGGAAGAACTGCCTGATAAGAACAATTTTTCAACTGAATAGCCATATATTTTAAATAATACTATAGAGGCTGCACTTCTTTGTTGAAAAGAAAATATTTTCCTAACAGATTGAAATATTTTTGCTATTTACCTACTATGGACTTTTATTAATTTAATACTCTTCAATCTTATTTTGTCTGTAAGATTCATTGAAAGTTTGTTTCAAGATATTGCAAGGTGAACTGAACACCCGGGAATGTTCTTACCGAGGGACTTAGAGAAAAACCTGCCAAGCATTGCTTGTTGCAGAAAACAAAACATTTTTTACCATTTTAGTAGGATTTCTTACTTCTTTGTTATCTGTCTATCTATCTATCTATCTATCTATCTATCTATCTATCTATCTATCCTCCCACATTAAATTCAACCTATATTTTCTCATTACTTGTTCATAATTTTGGAGTTTAGGAAAATATTTACAATAACCAAGTACTTCAAAAATATTTTATTAAAGGTATATGAAAATTAACATAATTTACATTTAAAACTATAGCATGACTTCTTTGGTAACAGTAGGCTATTCACTAGATAATGATTCAACAAATTATATACAGATATGCTAATAGTCTAAGCATATGTGTATAGGTTAATATTTTGCTATTCCAAATATACTTCAATGCTAATCTGATATATTTAAATGTAAAGTTTATAGAGATTATATGGTCAAAAATATGTATGTGTAAATATAGACACATGCATATATATACACCAGTTTTAACAAGTTTCTAAAAGTGAAATTCCATTCAGGGAAAGTGAAGTGTTTCCCTATTTGTTTTTATCTTGGTCCCTATAATCTTTCTTTAAGGGCAATGTTTATTATTTTTATCTACAATCATTGAGGAATGTAGTCTGCATTTCCATTTAGATAGACATTAACATTTGTAACATATCCACTATCTTTAAACATTCTAAGGTCTTGCTTTGTATGGTGAATTTATTAGCTTGAAATAATGTGTTTAGGTTTCTAATGGTGCAGAAAATTATCAAATATTTCCAGGTGCAAAACAAGTTCAGTAAATTTTATAGCCATAATAAATACATTTTATTTTAGCTTTGTTAATTGAATGTAAGTATTTTCCAAAAGAGGTAGCTTAGCACTTTACTTAACTAGACATCAAGCCAAAGCTAAAATTATAATTGATTTCTATCAAGTTAATGTAGAAATCCTTCATGATAGAGAAGTCAGCTTTCTTGATTTTCTGTTTTCGTAGCTAACAATGCCAATGAAAGTTCACTCCTGCAGGATCGTGGTTAAAATCTAATTAACAGGAAGGTTTTCCTGCAAAGGTGGAGCACCCTCTCCCCGGATTAGAGGGAAGAGCTTTCTTGGGGGCTCACTTTACACACACCTGCATCGTACCTGTGGGTGGTCTGCACAGATTGGAGCCTCAGCCCTTGGCATCCCCACTGACACACCCTCTGGCAATCAAACTGTATTTATGCTCAGAACGATCACTCTTATGCTAATGCATGACTAACATTTTATCCTGAGCATCATCACCTACAGTATCCCCTTTTCTTCCTGACCACCCCCATAGATTTATTAGCTTGGTATTGTCCTTGTTTGATCTTTTAAAAGAAAGGAGTGAAGAGAGAAAAGGAAAGAAAGGGGGAAAAGAGCCATTTTCAGAAGTAGATGATCAAAAATTCCATCCTCTTCCCCCCTTCCTACTTCCAAATGTATTTGAATTTACTTAGATGTTTTACAGATATAATCAGGTCTTCCCAGAGGGATTAATCTTTCCTTGCTTTTTACCTGTTTAGAGAGTCTGTTTTCCTCTTCAATGTACTTCTGTTCTTTGGGTATTAACGTTCGTAAGCTGGCTTTCACCTATGCACCAACACATGTGTCTGTTATGCATTCGTATATCACAAACGTTCACAAGTTTTTCACGCAATTCAATTTGCAATAATTAAAGTTTTGAAGTCCTGCCTGCCTCGCTCATAAAATATAAATGTATACAGTTACACCCGCGGCTGCTCCCTCTCGCAGGCAGGCAGGCAGGCAGGCGGGCGGGCGGGCAGGCAGGCAGGCAGGCAGGCAGGCAGGAGCGGCCAGCGCAGGGAGCCGCAGCGGCGGGCGCCAACGCTAACAGCAAGTGTGGGTGTGCCAGGCATGGCAGAAGCGCATTCTCCAGGACACATCAAGGTTGAGAGAAAATGAGGAATGACAGAAATTCTCTACAAATCAGGAACAAAAGCTTTCATGAAACTGAACTCTTTAGCGGTACAAAAAAGCCAAAGTTAAGACTTACAGCATTAAAAATCACATCTATTTCAAGATAGATGACCCCCTTTGTTGGCCCTGTCAGCTGCTTGTTTTTCAAGACGTAGGCTTTCTGTTCACCATTTTGAATCTGCGGGAAAAGGACATGACAGCCGTCTGTCTCGCGGTCTCCACTGAATACACTCCCTCGGTGACCTTTGACCCCCAGCTGCTGAAACTGACAGAGAACCCAAAACAACTGTGGCAATTCTGACAAGTACCTGTTCATTACCAGGATCAAGTCTGTCAGGAAAAATTAACTATCATGGGATTCAACATGGCCGTGAATTGAGTATGTTAAAATTTTTAGTGTTCTTATTACAGACCTTGGTTGAGAAATGACAGACATGGAGCTAAGGGTTTTTTTTTTTTTTTTTTTTTTCCTTGAGCAAAAGCAACACAGAACAGTGCGTCAGGTGAATAAAACTTACAGACAGCAATGGTATAGCAACTTTGCCCAGAAAGTCAGCGCTTCGATCCCGATCTTCATCATAAACTGTCACTTCAAGAACTGAATGGATATCTTTAATGTTGCTGCATAATAAATATATGTAAGAAAAAAGATTTCATCAGTGGGAAGCAAGAACTGGGATGGTTTTGAAAATTTAGATAGCTCCAGCTGATTATGTATGTCTGTGTGTATGTGTCTTTATGTGTTATTTGCATATACACATACACAGGGTGGTCTAGTATCTGATAGAATTTCCCACAATTCACCCTGGTAGACCACAGTGATGGTCCTATTATCTGGAACTTGGAAGATCATTATAAGTTTTTAAGTTATATCTTTTTGATAAAATATAATTTCCCATCTAAACAATCAAATAATTTACTGAAAAAAATCAATAGGTGGTCTTGTTATTTTTAGACTTTTCTTTATTATTATAACAATAAATCATATCTTTCCATAACAGCCACACAAAACACTAAGCCACTGATATTAGCAAGAGTCACTGCATACTTTTAGAGCAATTATTTTTTATAGTAACAGGACATCTCCTTTTTGTTTGTAGCTCTCCCCAAAATACTATGTTTATAATAAAAGTGAACAAATACAGAAAACAGAATGGAGAAATGCAACATTTATAGCTATTGCACCACACCGGAATTTAGAAATGAACTCATGTGCCATTGTGTTCCAAAGACAGCATACATTAATAAACAACTGGGAGAGCTCTTCATACTTTTGTCTCTGGAAATGTAAGTGCAAATTGTTGGCAGCATTTATTCTTTGATCAAACTGTTTACCAGAAAAACATGAATCCAGAGAAAACAAAGCAAAAGGAAAATATATTCATTACTGAAAAACCACAACCACATATAAGAAGAGGTTTTATCAGGCTACAATCAATTAATGGCTTTGATAATAATCAAACCTATTCATTCAATTATGCATTCCAGAGAAAAACACTCTCCACAACCTTCTTAGGAGTGCAAGTCTCCTGACCAAGCTTTCATCTTTTATGAAAATGTGGAATTCCTTAAAAATAAATTGGTCTCATAATTAAAGCTGATTAGTTACTGGCTCTTAAGCAGAGACATTAGAAGGAATTAATGAGGAATTTAGCAGATTTTCATGAACAAAAAATAAAACTGTGTTAGAAAACTTTTGAGCCGTACTTTTGTTCAGAGAGTTTCCTTTGTTTAGAGTTCATTTCTAAAGCCCAGTTTTTTTAAAAAGGAGGAAAAAACGAACTTAGGAGATACTATAGCGTAGCATCGGCAGCTTTTACAGTGAATGATTGAAAAGATTTACAAACTTATTAAAACAAAAGGAAAATTAACTCAAAGCATGTTTTGGTATCTAGGACAATACTTAATATTCTTATTGTGCTAAAACGAATCAAACCAAAACTAAAGCATCTGCCGAATTCGTGACCAGATTGTTTGCTGATTTCAGCAATAGAACAAATAGAGCTTTGTCCTCCTTGGTGTCAATGCAATTGGGAAGAATTTCAATAGAAAGTATAAAAGGAAGAGGCAGCCTGGCATTCCAGTTGATGGGTGCAAAACCTTTAGTCAAGTCATATAAAAAGCACAGTTTAAAAAAAAGTCGGTGAAAACAAAACAAGACAAAACAAAACAAAATAAAAAAACCCAAATGGCATACTCCTTTCCCCAATTCCACTCAGGAAGGTAGAAAGTTGTGGAACTCACGATTGTTAGAAAAGCCCGACCTGGTGTACTAAGTTGTGAATCAGTGACAAATATACATGCATACCCCTCAAAATAAAACACAATTTTATACCAGTTTTGAAATGGGCTCAAGGTGATGGCTACTTACAAGGTGAAGACTTTGTTCCACTCAGGATTGAGATTTTTGTAGACGGTATGCGTTAGTAGCCTATCATTGTTCAGCTCTACTACACAGAAGGGGTCACTTTTACCTGCAAGAGATTTGAGGGGAACATTTTTGTTAGAAATAGTAGCCACTTTCAGTGTCATGAGCATGACAAGAACTCTTGTTCAAAAAGTGTATGGTAAAAAGTGAAGAAAACTTTTAAAATTTAAAAAAAAAGTCATCATAATAGCGTTAGATAGAACCAGATGATGTTAGCAAACATTATGATCAATAACAACTTTGAACCTAGAAATAAAGTAAAAGAGACCAAATTATACAGTGGAATTTCAATTTGCATTTTAACAAAAAGAGTTCTAGCCTGTCAATTAATGAGAGGAAATGTGTATGTCCATCTCTGAATCAGTTTTTATTTCATTCTGCAATAACCATTCGGTGTTCGGTGCTTTTAATGTTACACATATATTTTTCAACTCAACAGATTCCCTAGTATATAACTTATAATGGGAATTTCCAAGCAAGTTTATTTTGACAAAACTGTTATATTTCAAAACTGCAACATTTTAATCTAAGGTTGAGTTAGTTTCTTGATATCTACAGAATCACAAGAAGATATATTTGAAATTCTCAGGCAGAAAGAGTTATGCCATTTGAAATTTAACACCAATGACCAGTCTGCCATTAAACAGAAATACTTTTTTTTTTCTGTTCACTGAAAAGAAAGAATTTAAAAGTTATCATTTATTTACAGCTACTGTGTTCAGCCAGAGCCTAATCCCATCCATTTGACAATCAGGTTTTTAATATTCTCAATATTTCTATAATGTCATGTCCTGTATTATAAGAACTCATAAAGTCATAGGCTCTGTGGGGCCAGAATTAATGATATTAGTGCAGCATGTAATTTGTTTGATACCTTATACAAATGACAATGAAATCAATATTTAGACAAAGCTGTCCAGAGGTCATACCTTTGAAACTACAATATTGATTTAGACTACATAAGAGGTTAATGTGCATATTATTAACTTTAATGATAAAGAATAATTGTTTTAAATGCATTGTGAATCGAAGCCACAGTAGTTTACACTTGTGCAAAAGCTTAAATATCATTAAAGATTTTCAATTAATTTTTAATGGGAAGGAATTCACCAGCTATCATTGATGGATAAGTTGTGCATTCCCATACAACAGTGTGTTTGCTTTCCATAATGTAATTTTTAAAATGAGCTGTATCTACTTTGACTCCTTTTTAATTTAAACTATTAATTTTATATTTCAAAGATTTAATACATGTGTGCCCGTGCAGTACCTTCATATACTCTGAGATAGTTGCATAAAGTGACATTATAATAGTCTTCGCAATTTTGGGTTTGGGGGATCATTTTCAGTAAAGAGTAGAAAACTGGAAGACATTAAGTTCTGGTGAAAATTTTGTTCGTAGTTCAAGATCTGTGTATCTCCTTTCTCCACTTTCGCCCCTTTCTCTTTAACCACCTTTACCATCCTCATCTTCCAGCACACATATGCATGGAGGATAGTGCACAGAAAGCACATTTTGTTCATCCAAACACCTTGTAATTGTCTTTATTTGACATATCAACAACTGTATTTTCTTACATAGAGCTTTGATACCAGCACAGAAAGGCAGGCTCAAATTTTTTGAATTATATTTAAATGTAAGCCTCTCGGCAAAACCTTCCCCAGGAACCATGCCTTATCTTATTAGTTCCTAGGCTGCCTACATAGGAAAAGCTTGGTAGTTTTGACTACAGATCCACACATTCCACAAATATTTATTGCTTATAATGTATCAAGCAGTGTTATAAGTGCTGGGGACATAGCAGTACATAAATCAACTTAAATTCCTGACCTTCTGGAACTTCCAGTGAAGAAGGCAATGAATACATTTTAGGGTGTTTTAGGTGATAATTATTTATGGAGAAAAATAATCATGGGAAAGAAAAATAACTGGGAAAGTTGATGGGGAAAGTTGGTCTGTAGATAAGATTTCCAAGGGGATTTCAGGAACGATTCTCATTAGAAAATGACATACAGGCAGAGAAATGGACACCACAAGGGAGACAGCCCGTGGCTTACAATGGAGACACCTGTTAGAAAGACTAGAGAAGCAGCCTTGTCTAATATATTCAGGGCTAACTAGAAAGCCAGCGTGGCTGGAGGGTTGGATTGGGTTGAGGGGCCAGCAGCTGACAGAGTGGTAGGAGGGGAGTGGCAGGTCTCTGAAAGGACTTGGCTTTCATTCTAGGGGAAAGAACAAATTTTGGGGGGATTTGAGTTGAGGAGTTACATGATCCAGATGGCTGGTACTTGGAAAATGAGCTGGAGAAGGAGGACAGGGGAAGTAGGGTGAACTGTTTGCTAACCATCCAGGGGGTGGAAGTGTTGGATTCTGGGTAACTTTTGAAAATAGAACAAATAGGATTTTCAGGTGCCAGTTATACAGTCTAATATGTCCTGATATTATGATTTATAGATGGAAAATAATTTCTTGAGCTTAGCCTATTTTTTTAAAGTCAGAAAACATTCAACAAGATGCTCATATTAGACATTTCTTAGAATCTGACAAAGGAAATTTTAGGCGAAGAGAGAGCAAGTAATTTTATGTGTAATTTGTACTCATTTTATCTTTCTAAAAGTTATCTTTTTATGATATATGTAGTAAATGCCAACATTAGGTCTTGACATGTTATTTTTTACTAATTTAGAAACTACCCTTCTGCCATTGAGTGACCAAAAGGCAATTAAAAATTAAAATAAATTTCACCCAAAGTAACAGTAAGTGTAAAATATCAAATTCCATAAAGTTACCACTAAAAATCATATGCTATGATTTTATTTTAAAGAAGCAGCTACACAAAGTTAATGTGTATATCTGGCTTGCTAAATAATGCTTTAAATTACTGGCTTGTCAGTTCCTAAAATTTGTAGGCCTGATTATGTGCCACTTAAACAAACAAAAACAATCAGAGAAATATCACTGATAGACTAAACCAATAATTATCTCCTAATTATTCCTTCTTTCCATCCTCTTATCATTCCATTTAGACTCTGTGATACGCTGTTCTCTTGCTGAGAGTACCTGAGTCATGAGATTGACTACAGGATGGAGGCTATGAAGTGTGCTGCATTTTGCAAAGCTCCAGGGAGTGCTTGAGACAGCCCCCTGCAATATTATTCAGTACCACAGGGCTACAAGTGCAAGACATGGAGGCAGCACCCAAAGTTGAAGGGTATTTTGCTTCTGATAAGTTTTGGCTGAAGAGCCTAAATGGATGACGACATTATATGTGCAGTCTCTTAGCTTTCTGTCACTCATTTTTGTCATGAGACTAAGGCAGGTACTAACAGGCTTTCCTCTTACTCCCACCATTTTGGCTAAATGCTCATCCCTCTCCCTAGCAATGTAAGAAACTAGAGAACTGGGTTTGGATGGAAGATAGAAATTGTAGCAGTGCTGGGGAAGGGCAGAACCGATTGCTTTAACTGCCATGGCTAGAAGAGAATCTTAGCTTTCCTTGAGAACAGGGCAATTTTCCATGTTGACAATTCCTACAGTGACATAGGAATGCCTTCTGAAGAAGTCATGAGTTATAGAGAGTCTGCTCTGCTCACCCCAGAATTACAAATATGATGAGTACACAGTCAAGCTCTCCAGGCATGCACTATGTAGTAGGCACGACAGACATGTAAATACACAATTGTCATGCGGGGTTGTAAGTGCCGTAATGAAGGTAAGTGAAGAGGGCAAAGGGAGGGAAGCACATCGTTCTGTAACTCAAGGATGGGAAGGGGGACAGGAGGAGGAGACGGCCTCCCAGGGGAGGTGACCCATGACATCTGTGGTGATTGTACATCCTCATCATCAGCACTTTTAGAAATGAAGCCAACCACGTGGAAATTGGACTTTTTTTCTGATCATCAATACTTAGTTTGAATCTCCTCATGCATCTCTTTAATAAGGTTTCTGCGAAGCAAAACCCTAGATAGGTGGTCCCTAACTTCAATAAAATAGATATTTAAAACTGTTAAGTCAGGACAGAAGCATTTATCCATAATCTAGTTAAATAATAGAGACTATTGTTTTTACTATCGATTTTTAATAGGAAAAAGAAACTTCCCCAAGTAATTAACTTTAGAGACCCTATACCATTAAACCAAATCCATAACAGAGTGTAAAGCTTATACTTTATTTCCTCAATTCTTTTGGTGAAAAGCCATTTTTGCAATATTAAAAACCTCAGAATTTACTTGAGTGGGCATCTTTTCCAGCAGTTTTTAAAATGGGACCAAGAATTCAAAAAGGTGCACTGACTGGTTAATTTTCTCTCCCTCTTAGCATTTTGTCTTTGAGGTCACAACCCCAACATATCAATAAAAGTCTGTGGGGGAGTCAGCAGCACCCCTCCTCGCCTGCTACCTGCTTTTATGGCAAGGTATGACTTCAGTTTGTTCACTTGAAAGATACCGGGTGAATTCATGCTCCCAAAAAGAGGTAATCCTGATTCATCCATGGTGGGTTTTGTCCAATATCACTCTGCAGTTGACAAGTGGTACAGTTTGCTGAGAGTGATGTGTTATAAAACGTGTTTGTTGGGAAGGGACCCATGACCACCTCCTTGTCACACTCTGGAAATGGAGAAAGCTTTCAGTGCTATGGAATGCAATCTGTACCCATGAGGCTGTTTCATTTTAATCTACCTTGCACAAATTAAACTCTTTGGTTTAATTTTCTCAGTTACTACAGTTTCAAATGGCTATATTTTAATCTTTCAAAAAATTATAATCAAGGTTGCCATCTGTCCTTTCTGCAAATTGGAATTTCAATCAAGACATACAATGTCACAGTTGAGGGGATTCCATAGGGTCAATCTGAACAAACAAATAAACAAACGAAAAGCAACCTATGTCCAGGACATCTTACAATACTCTTCTTATTACTGAAGATAAGGCTTTGCCCATAGTCTTTCTCATCAGCTGACCTAAACATATTTTAAACATCTGATTGGTAGAATTACATTTACTGATACTTTTTTTTTGGCTGGCTCAGGCTGCCTTAGGAGCAGG